CCTTCCTTCCTTCCTTCCTTCCTTCCTTCCTTCCTTCCTTCCTTCCTTCCTTCCTTCTTCCCTCCCTCCTTCCCTCCCTCCCCTTTCTCTCACTAGACCTCTGCCTGATTCTTACCATGGAAGTCCCCGTGGAGGATGGACATAATGAACCTTCTCTTTTCTTAGGCTTCATCTTTAAATTTCTGTTCCCAAGGTGACTTCCAGCTCACTGGGCATTCAGCTGGACCTTTGAATGAATCTGGTCCTTTGTTTTTCCCGCTATCAGCTGTTTCCAGCAGGAGGTTTCCAGGAGAAATTTCTTGGATCAGCAGCTTTGTAACCACTTTAGAGAGGGAAATCTATGGGGTGCTTGTGAACTGGAGCCTAAGCTTGAACACGCAGGCTAATTTTATTTGTAAGGATTAGTTCCTAAAATTACCTCAAAGTCAGCATCTAGTTTCCCTTTGGGGAAATATTTGTGGAAAATGCAAATAAGCAGAGGCTCAGGCCTGGGCAAGAGGTTCATAGCACCAAAGATGTGAATCTTCTCAAAAGCTCAACCCCCCTGATATTTCAGACAGGAGGAACTGTGTACGCAGTTAGTCAGGAGCCAAGGATTAAGGGCAAATTACTCTATGTTTGAGAAATTGTAGCAGAAGGTCCCACTTGCACCCCGCAGGGACCAACCAGTGAGCACCTAAATAGCTGGAGTCTGAACAGTGGGAGAGTCTGGGCTTGGAACTCCCTTTTTCCAATTAATGCTAGCATTTGTGAGTAACAGTGCAGTTGTGCAGTGGCCTAGAGGTGGGGCTCTCGCCTCTCAATCAGGAGGCTGTCGGTTTGATCCTAGCTAGAGGCAGATATTTCTCTCTCTGGGAACACTGAGAATATATCTGCTTGAAGAAAACTCCGCATTGGCGACAGGAAGGGCATCTGGCCAGTAAACACCGTAGCTTCATTCAGTTGCCCAGATTCCACCCCGCAAGGGATAATGGGGTCGTTAAATGATGATGATTTGTGAGTAACAGTATACGATGGGCACCGCACGACTGAATCTACAGCTGTTAATGAAATTATTAGCTTTCATAAACTATTAACGTTTAATATACTCTTTTCGTCTCTCTCTCTCTCCCATACAGTGTTGGCGTTAGTTTGAATCCGGGACCTGGCTCTGTTGTCTCTCCAACTTGGATGCTGTTGGGCCAACCATTTTTTCTCCCTTTTCCCTGCATGTCTCTGACCAGCCCACCCATCTCCTATTGGATGTACATGATGGAATTAGGCCACGGCTGACTATTGTCCTCTTGGGAGCCCCTCCTCCTCCACCTCCTCCTCCTCCTCCTCTTAGCTCTGTGTTTTCAGAACCTTCTTGGGCAGCTGTGATATTTTCTCCCCTTCTCATAACAGTCAGGTTCAACTTAACAGTTTTGTTCCCACCGTCTGGGGGGGCCACAGGTGACACCTCCCCAGCCCCAGTTCTCTGAATCTTGCAAGGAGAGACCTATTTGTTGAGGCCCCCTGTCACTTCTTGGCCACAGTTTGCATGGGAATGCCACCGCCATGCAGCGTGTAACTGTGCATGATACCCCCCAGTTGAGCTTTGTCCCAATCCACGCTCGGCCTGGGCGGTCCTCTTACCTTTTTCATCCCGATAATTAAAGCCGCCACCTTTTCCCTCCTAACTTGGCGTCGAAGTATATCAGTCCATGGAAACGTTTTCCTTCACTCAAAAATCAAACTGAGCAGCGTCTCGCCTTTTCGTTGTTGTCGTTGTTGTTGTTGTTGTTGTTCCAGAGAAGGTAGAAGGGTAGTTAAATCCTTGATTTAAATCTCCGCGGTCTATCAGGCTTCATAATGCGGTGTTTCCTCAGTTCCTGTGCATGATTCTCTCCTGTGCCCTTTCTGTTCACCGTACGTTTCCTTTCCCTGGCCTTTGCTGGAAGGAGGTAGCTATTTGGCACATGGGGATGTGTGTGTGTGAGAGAGAGAGAGAGAGAGAATGAGTGAGTGAGAGAGAGAGACAGACAGACAGAAAGCAAGCAAGCTGTGGAGCAGTTGACATGGGCTGAAGAGTAGAAAACTCAAGTCACTTTGGCCCATCACAGTGGGGATGCTACCTCCAGGCTAAATTTAGTCCCATATTCCCACTGAACTTCCAAACGGGAACCCTTCCCAAATTCTGGTGGTGCAAAATGAAAAGATGCTCTTTGATGAAAGACCACATCCATTGGCAGGAGAAGAGGGGGCATGGGGTGGTTTGCTCCAGGAGGGCTCAATGACCCCATGAGCTCTTGATGGATGGATGGATGGGAGTTCTGATTTCTGTCCTGTAGAACTTCCTCTTCCCTTCCAGCTTTGCCTTAGCGATGTCCCAAGCTTTCCTTCGGCACCTTTGGGTTCCTATTCTGGTTGCCTCTAACACTTGCACTGGACCTGTGAAAGAAGTGTGTATTCTAACCACTCATCCCTTAACATAACAGGCACATACACACTTGTTTCTCTCGCTCCCGTTAGCGGAACGTCATTTTAAAAATGTCAGAATTTTGTGTGCGTGTGTGCATGTACACTTGTTTTATTTTTTTTCTTCCTCTCTCCGATTAATAAAATGCTCGATCGTTACTTAACAAGGCTGAAAGACTGAAGCTGAGTCAGTGAATCTTTTAAAAATGAGGGTGCGGAGGAAAACCAGCAGCCATCCAGATATTCCTGGGATCTCAAGTCTTTTCGGTTCTAGCCCACACAGCCAGGAATAAAATAGGAGGGGGTAGCCATCGACTTATGACTATAATTGGGCCTGCCAGTGCGGTGGTCATTAAGTAAACCCATTGTTTGCTATAGGATGTTTTTCTCTGGATTCAAAACTTTGAGATCCGGTCATAAGTACCTTTCGGAGATCCATTGTAACTTCAAACGACCGCTAAGCAAAAGTTGAGAACTCCTGTAATTCAGGCGTGTTCAGAGGACTATCACTCCGCTATTTATCTTAGAAAGTGATAGTTGATTGAGACTGAGGAATTGGGTAGATTGTGCAAGGTCTATTAAATAATGACCAGGTTACAGTTCGGTCGTTCCATACGTAAGAAAGACAGTGGATCGCTCTTCTCTCTTAAACAGATCACTTGAGTGTTAGTACAGCATTGGATTTCCTCGTTCGGGGTTTCGGTTTATTTTTTTCCCCTGCATAAGCACGACACTTTTTCCTTCACTATCTTCCCTCCACAGATAACTCAGTCGTTTTTTTTAACAGCTCACGTTTAGTATATTCCTGAATCTCTGTTTGAAATGTTAAAATTTCCAAAAATGTGTGATTCCGGAAGAACTAACACTGCATTTGGTCCAGCTTTGGCTTTCATCCAGCTGATTTCCATGTTGCATTTCCTTGGAGCAGGGGTCCCTGACCTGAGCCACATTCAGATGTACCAATAGAAAAGGATATTTGTATCCTAACATTGAACAGTAGGGCCCTTGATGTTATCTGAGATTGGTTGCTTTTCTTGTAGACATTTCACTACCGTATTAGACAGCATCATCAGTGCCATCGCATCTGCAAGAAAGCAACCGACTTCGGCACCAAGGACCCTGCAGTTTTTCAGATGTGTGGACCTCCACACATCTGAAAGCAACTGAAAAAACCTACCTTGGAGAATAGTTAACGCTGCTTGGGGACTGGATGAGGTCCTTCATCTTCTGGAAAGATTTAAGTCATTATTCTCGGGGCCTACATTCGTTTATTTATTCTGCCTGCTTTTTCTATTCCAGTCATGCTTTTGGCAAACAAAACACAAAAAGCTGCCTTGTTATATTTGTTACATCATTTGACATAATGAAAGGATCAACCTTTTATGTAATCCGGTTTATCGGTTTCTGTTGTTAAAATTAACAGTGTGCAAACAGCTAGGCTGGGGAGAAGCGGTGGGGGTGGGAAGCAGAATTGACTCATGAAGAAAATGGCATAGGATTTCTTTTTTAATGGGTGGAGGAGGCTGCCCAGTGAAAGTTAGTGTGCCATCCTTAACATGGTCTTGAATCCAACCAGTCCTGGTGCTTGGTGTATAATGTATCTTCCAGCATTTCACCCGGAATTGATTTGTACTTGTGGTGTGGTCAGAACCTTATTTGTGTACTTTTTTGTGACAAACGTGGAGAACAAAGGTTTCAGGATCAACAGCCAGAAGCCTGGGGGTGTTTTTAATTCAAGAAATTAAAATTAAACCGGTCCCTACCACCCATTCCAGTTTTGGTTTTTTTTGTCTTGTTTTTCTGGATGGGAAGGTGTAGGAGATTTGCGATGTCTTTATTCCACTTGTTTTATTTATAAATGTACAAACAGCATTTCAAAGCAAGCAGACATTTCCCAAGAGAAATACCCCACATCTACGCTTAGCAATTTATAGCCAGTTTTGTTTTTTTTTCTCCTTTATTCATTCTAACTGCAAAGGTTTGCACTCGCCATGCCCGAAATTTCCCTCTAGAAAAATCTACAACCATTACACTAGTGTTTCGTCACCTGGGCCGCTTGAAGACATGTGGACTTCAACTCCCAGAATTCCTCAACCAATATGAATTCTGGCATTGAAACCCACACATCTACAAGCAGCTCAGGATGAGAAATACCGCATTTAAAGGAACTCTTAGGCCTCTTTTGAGAAGGATCACAACTCAGACTATCTTAATTTACTACTGATCCACTGCAGGTCAAAAAACTGAAAAGGGATATATAATTTGACTGCTGTTTTTTGTTTGTAACCGCCTAGCCCCATTGGCAAATTTGAAGCAGCAAGTCGCCAATGGTTTCCCCTCCCCCATGAATGTGTTTTCTGAGGTTGAGAATAACCAAAAGTTATATTTTTGGTACTAAAAGAGAAAGACCTAAAGCATTTTCTTCCCTTGAATTTTTTTTTTCAAAAACTGGTCACTACAATATCTGGCCATGCATCTAATCCCTATCACTGCCCGTATCTGGAGACAGACTAAGTCTATAAGCTGTCCATTGTATAAATAAAGATTTTAAATGAAGGAAACAAGTTTTGCTTTTTTTTTTTTTTTGCTTTTTCTGGCAGCTTCCTAGCCATATTCATAAAGCTTCACTGCCACGCTAGTTTTTTTTTTTTTTTGATCGTCCTTGCTTTTCTCTTTAATTCAGCCGCGAATGGTGATTCTGCTAAAATAACTGTCCTTTGTTCATCCTGTGCTGTTGGCAGCCGCTGGGCTAATCAAAAGAGGTTTTTTTTGCATTGCAGAGAACATTGTGCCTCTCTAGAAGAGCTCTGACGATGAATTTAAATCAGAAAGTAGTAGTTCCTCACTCATCTCCTGGGGAGGCACTGCGGTATCAAGATGATGAGAGAAAGATTATCCCTGTCCATCACTGAATGCCTAGTGCCTCGGGGCTGCCTGCAGGGGCTTATGGCAGTTGTAGTAACAAGGCAGGCATTTGGTAGGGGTACCACTGATCTTCCAGGTGATGGCTGAGATACACATGAGCCTCAACTCTACCTTCAAGTAGCAGGTTGAAGTGTTCTCAACTGGGCTGAGAACAGTATAAAAATGTCAAGACAAACTCCACGCCCCCGCCCCAAAATAGTGACTTAATTTTACATCTAGGCTATGCTGAACCTGGTACCTAAACACATCTGCACTTGTGGGTTATGTCAAAGCTGCAAGCTAACCAAACGGGTTGAATTCAGACAACGTAACTTAAGCTATATTGCGATTATAACTAAACTTGACATGCTGGGCCACTTCAGCTGTTGAAAGTGGTGGGTAAACACGAGATTTTAAAAAGTAATGTGCAATCTTTTTTCTAAAAATGCACGTGGTTTGACCCCAAACACAGTTAGGATGTAAGGCATGGTAGGAGTTTGATGGTGGCAGGAGAGGGTGATTGTCTCTAAATTTACTCCCATTCTCTAAATTTCGTTATCCTAAGCAGCAGATACCTGTTTTTATGTCTCCCCCTGCATACAACCAATCTGGAGTCCAAAGAACAAGCAGTTTTTAGCCTGAGTTTAGCTTGATGCAAAATACACAATATTAGCCACATTTTGCTGAAACACTCCAGAGACGAGACCATCATTTGGGACATCCTGCATCATTAACCAAGTTGGTTGCCAGTTAGTTGGAATTCGCTTTCTTGCAGAATCCAACTTTTGGTTTTAGATATGCACACTGGTATAAAGTTCCATGTTGTTCCCCACTAGGAAAACTTGGTCTGAAGTAAGAGAGAGATTATGTCTTGTTTAAAATCAGCCACAAAAATTGAATGGAGAGAGTGAGGTCTGTAGCCGTCCAAGAAGCAAATAGTGTTCTTTAAAGCTCTGGAAAGTTGACTCTCCTTCTTTCTAGTCATAAACGGCTTTAGAAGCCTCTCTGCAGCTGACAAAAACCCAGACTACCCAAGGTTTGTTTGAAAAGTTCAGCTTCTTCTCTTTTCATTCGGTAGGTCACGTTCACCTTCCCAATCTTGTTTCTCTAGCCTCAAGAACAGGCCACCTAAACCTTGGTAATGGAATGAGTGGGGGGGTTTTTTCCCCTCCAAGAGGCAAATTAGAAAGGTTAAAACGTCCCCACTCATCCTCCCTCCATGCCCTGCGGAAAGATTATCCCCAAAGAGTCGGTTGGTATAATTGATGCCGGGGGTGTAGTCTTTGGATGGTCACTTAGAAGCGGAAGGGAGAGCTTGTCCTATCCATGCTAGAGAAAGGCCATTCTCTTGCTTTTCAGTGAGCTAATTATCCGTGGCTATTATTCACCCTGGGACATTATGAAGAATGGGATGTAATGGTAGCATGGGTACCATATGCTTCTTGTTGGCGATCTTTACAAATGGAAAACATTTCAGGAACAGCGAGAGCTTTTGCTAGTAAGACACAAAAGAGTTTTTAAGGGTGAAAGCGACGCAAGGATCCTCTTAATTTATCTTCAAAGTACAGATGACCATGTCAGGAATGTAACCCTCTCTGAATGCTAACTTAGAAGGCGAGCAACTTTTCCTTGATAGTAGACAAAACTCTTGTTTCTGATTAAATAATGTCAAACCTTCACCTCAGACAGAGAACTTCCTTAAAAATTACAGCATATATCTTGTTTTTCCCCTCAACAATTACTCAAGTAATGCAAGAAAAGGGGGCGGGGGGGCTCCCTATTTTAACTGTCAGAAGTGATTGGTTAAGTTTAAAAAGTCCCCATAGGTGCGTACACGGGAACCCTTGAAAAAATGAAAAACTATCCTGTGCTACATCGGAGAAAAGAGGTGCCATGCGAGAGGATCCCCAGAAAAGGAATACTTTGCATTACTAAGATTTTTTTTTTTAAAAAAAATGGGACCATTTACATTTTTTAAATAATTCCTTTGGGCTCTGACTACAGTTCCAAAGCTCTGACGTGACACTAAATCAGTGTTTTTAAAACTCAGCAAGATTAAGATGCGTGGACTTCAACTCCCAGAATTCCCCCCAACTGGCTGGAGAGACATCTGGAAGTTGAAGTCCACATTCTTGAAGAATTCTGGAAATAGAAATCCATGCATCTCAATAGTTGCTGAGTATGAGAAAAACTATTATGTATAGGAATCTCGAGGTTATTAATTAGACTGCGAAGTCAAAATATTATCCAATAAAAGCAGCCATTTCCATCTGATGCCCAGAAAACGACCTTGATGTATGTACATCACTAAGAGCCAGGTTCAACTTGATGGAAAACATGTATTTTTATAAGAAAAACGAAAAGTGGGGGAGGAATGCATGGAATAGGACAGTGTTTCTCAACTTTAGGAACGTGAAGATGAATGGACTTCAACTCCCAGAATTCCACAGCCATCATGGCTGTCTGGGGAATTATGGGAGTTGAAGTTCACTCATCTTCACATTGTCAAGGTTGAGAAATACTGGAATAGGATATAATCTAGCAAAGGTAACCAAAAGTCCAGCTATCCTGACCGCCATGACAGATATACACCAAGCGGTAGGATTATTTTTTTTCAGATTTCTGCAGATTTTACTTTACATGAATTTACATGTTAAGGCAGGGAGGTAAGGAACTGCTGCAATTCCTCTTCCCCCACCCCCCAATCTCCCACTGCACTTTCCAAAGGAGCCTGGGTCCCAAAACTTTTGGAGAGGAGAGCATCAGAACATCTATAAGCAGGATCACCTCTCCACAAGCTTCTGCAAAAAAGAAATAGAGCAGTCAAGCTGATAAACAGCCCCACCGGATGCATAACTCTACTAGCTTAAGTATATGGTGCAATCTTTTTCACTTAAATGTAAACACCTGCCCACCCGCCCCAACTGAACCCAATGGGACTGAAGTCTGAGAAGACGCCTATAAGATTCACTATGCTAGTAAGGAAAAGGAGGGAGGCAGCATTGACAAAAATGGAGAGATACACAACCGGCCGGGTTATACACATTCAACAATTCTACTCTTCCATTGCACCAAGGTGGTGTGCTAATTATCACATCATTTTCACCTCCCTTCTTTTTTTTTTAAAGCCTAGTTTTTAGTCCTTGTCTCTCTCTCCCTCCCATTCCTAGTAGTTTGAGAATGCCTTCTTTTGCCGGGGAAATCCTGAGAGACCAGCTTTCCTGGTGGACTTCTCTCAGAGGTTGGCGCCCAGAGGTGCTTCCTCAAAAGCAGTCCTGAAGACCTGCAGCAAAGATCTCCGGACTGCATCCTGGAATTCCTGCCCCACAAAGACATAAAGCAAGGGGTTGATGCAACTGTTGAACATGGCCAAGCATTTGGAGAGGGGAATGGCCACCAGTCGCATGCTCTCGGGCACGAGATCCATTGAGATCCTGGCCAGAGCCAAAGCGTGATAAGGGAGCCAACAGAGGAAAAAGCAGAAGACCACTCTGGTGATGACCAGGAAGGGTTTGCTGGATTTGTTCAGCTTCTTCTTGCTCATGGTCACCACCAGGATTGTGTAGGAAATGGAGATGACCAGTAAGGGAAGGAGGAATTGATAAAGAAAAATGCAAATGGTGAGGACTTCGGCTTGTTGCCAGTCCTGGAAGATGTCCAGGTTGTTGCAAGAACTCCGGTTGTTGTTATCCACGGAGACCTGGGTGAAGAAGTACGAGCTGGGAACGAAGAATGCCAACGACAGGAGCCAAAGGAATCCACAAGCCGCCCAGGTAAGCCGGGGCGTGCGGTAGTTCTGGCACCAGACAGGAGCCACCACCAACACACAGCGATCCACACTGATGGAGCTCAGCAACAACACGCCACTACACACGCTCAGCCCGAAGAGGCAATTGGCCACTTTGCAAGCCACGGAGCCAAAAGGCCAATGGAGGTCAAGAGCCAAGTTGAGTACCGTGACAAGGATGAGGGAGGTGGATGCTAAGTCGGCTAAGGCCAGATTGAAGAACCAGACAGTGTTGGAAGTCCATCGCAGCTTCCACCCAGTGACCCATAGGACTACCCCATTCCCAGTCACACCAGCCAGGAAGATGAAGCTGAATATTACCCCTGTGATAATCTTTACGCTGTCCCGCATGGAGTTCTCCTCCGTGAGCACTTGGGAGGAAGAACCGTTGGCATTCGGGTTGGTTGACATCTCCCCTGTCAAAGAGAGAAGAACAAGGATGAAGATCCGTGATTATTAGTCATCCAGGCCAGGCAATGCAATTTCTTTGCCAGGGACCACATTTTTTTTACCAAAAAGCAAATTATCCCCAAGGGTCACAAAGTTATTGATGGTAATGTCCCACCCTTGCCCTACTGCCCATGTTTCCCCGAAAATAAGACCCGGTCTTGTATTTTTGAGCTCCAAAATAAGCACCAGGCCTTCTTTTGGGTGGGGATGTCTTATTTTTGGGGAGGCCTAGTTCTTCTACTTGCTCTAGGTCACAACAGAGCAGAGAAGCCAAGACACAGTGGGACAGAGTGGAGGCAGGCAGGCGTGGCGGCTTGTATTCTTATCTCTCAGCTTTCCCGTGGTCCTTGTGGCTCATCAGGATTGCCTGCCTCCCCTTTTACACCAATTTGAACTGCCTTCTGATTTTCTTGACGCTGGACATGTGGACTACAACTCCCAGAACTCTGTGGTGGTTGAGGAATTCTGGGAGTTGAAATCCACACACCTTAAACATTGCCAAAGATTGAGAGAGACTGATCTAGAACATCACTTAACAAAGCACTATGCTATAGGGGTGCTTCAAAATTGCTCCAAATCTAATCTCATCTGGAAGACTATAAATTGCTTACCTTTGGACTGTATCTTCCGTGGACAAACTGCGATATAATTTGAGGGTCATGCGTAGCATAAGCGTGGGTGGCTCCCTTGAACAGGAAGCTCCCTGGGACTGATTATGATATGCAGTCAGATATGGTCTCTTACTCGGCTAAGATCTATGTTGCAATAAGCCAGAGCAAAGCCACATTAAAGGGGAAAAAACTATCCTTGTTGGACTCAGCACCGGATAACAAGATGGACCACGTTTGACCTTGCCTTTTTCCAGAAGAGTTTATCAACTTCCCAGTTTAACTGACACAGGTAGCCCTCAACTTACAACAGTTCATTTAGTGAGAGTTCAAACTTACAACAATGTGACTTATGACTGTTTTTCACAGTTACATTTCCAGCATTCCGATGATCATGGTTTTAAAATTCTGATGCTTGGCCACTGGTTCATATTTATGCCTATTGCTGTATCTGATCCCTTTTCCCCAAAGGTGTTTTTCCAAGAGGCAGTCACAACTTCTGGAGGCAAGTTGTTCCACTGATTAATTGTTCTGACTGTCAGGAAATTCCTCCTTAGTTCTAAGTTGCTTCTCTCCTGGATTCATTTCCATCCGTTGCTTCTTGTCTTGCCTTCAGGGGCTTTGGAGAATAGCTTGACTCCCTCTTCTTTGGGGCAGCCCCTGAGATATTGGAAGGCTGCTATCATGTCTCCCCTGGTCCCAGTTTCACTTCACAGCCAGGTTACTCACCTATCAACTGCAGGGATTCACTTAACAAGGGTGGCAAGAAAGGTCGTAAAAGGAGGCAAACTCACTTAACAAGTGTCTCACTTAGCAACAGAAACAGAAACAATCCTAAACTGGCAGCCAGTGGGGAGCAAACTGGGATTGAAAGAATTGCAAGGAAGCTTAGCTGTCCACAGGATAACTCTCCTATCAAGCCCAAAATTGACATAAGTGTAGCCATTTTAGTTTGTCTTAGTATATATTCTTTTTCTTATTTAGTCTGTGGCAGTAATGGGGGGAAGGGTTTCGGGCTATGGGGGGAGGAGTGGAGACAGATAGAGTTGTTTAGGCTAGGTGGTTCTTCTTACCGTGGGAAAACGAGCTGTCCGTGCTTGATCCCCTGGAGGTAGAGATTTATGACATCAGGCAACGTTGAATTACTCCTATTGGAGAATGTGACTTTTGGGGGTTGTTTCTAATTTCTAATATGGTGTGGTAATTCCAGGTTGGGTCAGATCTGGAATTACTATGGACTTTACCAATGCCTTCCTAAATAAAAGAAATCTTTTTGAAAGATGGACTTTGTACTTTTCTTTTTAAATGGGTTTCATCACTTGGAAACCTGACATCTCTCTGATCAGACAGGTTTGGGGGGTGGGTGTCACACTAAGCTATCATGCAGTCGATTGGGGTTTCGCCAAGTACAACTTGCGAAACTCAACCATTAGCCACCATGGTTTGCAAACCTGTTTTCAGCTGCTGCACCGTGCAAACCCAGCCAGCTGAATCCTACTCCAATCACAGTTAAGCAAACCATGAGTCGGGATCAACAGGGAGAGGGTCTCTACCGCAGATGCAGAGCATTCCTCTCTTGATCACATAGTTCCAGGGGTTCAGGAGAGCCCCTAGCTTAAGATACTACGAAGTTCGGAGAATCCCCAAATCCCACTCCTGGCTGGCCCCCACCCCACTCCTCCCAGGAGTCTCCACACGGCCTGTTTAGGATGCAGGTAAGTACAGGGTACGCACGGAGGCTTGGGGAGGGTGGAAGAAGTTTGGGGAGGCCGGAAATGGGCCCATTTCCGGCTTCTTCCAGAGAGCCTCCGGAGCCTGGGGAGGCCGTTTTTGCCCTCCTGGAGCAGAGGTGGTCTTCAGCAGGTTCTGACCAGTTAAGGGAAACCGGTAGCAGAAATTTTGAGTAGTTTGGAGAACCGGCAAATCCCGCCTCTGACTGGCCCCGCCCTCATCTCTTCTCCGCCTCCCATTGAGTCTCAGCTGATCGGCTGGGTCTTCTTTGGTTGCCCTGCACAGGAGAACGGAGCTGGAAAGCAGGTTAGTGGGGTGGGGAGGGAATGAGGATTTTGCAGTATCCTTCCCCAGCTATGCCATGCCCACCAAGCCATGCTGACAGAACTGGTAGTAAAAAATTTTTTTGAATCCCACCACTGTCCTGGAGGCTCGAAGAAAGCCTCCAGATTATGGGGAGGGCAAAAATGCTCCCCCCTCACACACACACACACTGTGGTGGAGGAGGAGGAGGAGGCCAACTAGGCCACGCCCACCATGGCCACACCCACCCAACCACCAGGCAGAGAACCCTTGCTAAAATCCTTGAAGCCCAACCCTGCATGGTTTGATAGATAGGGCAAGGGCAAAAGGAAGGAGCAAGTTGCAACTTCGAAAAGAAAACCGGGCGCCTGCCAGCATCTTCAGCCTGCCTTTCAAGATGGGAGGGTGAAATGGGAAATTCTGCTCCTGGCTAAGCTGAAAACCCACCCGTCGCCCCAATCGTTCTGCATTTTCCCCTCTTCCGTAATGGAAATTTTCAAGGGCAGTCTCTGTTGCTTTGGTTACGATATTACCTCCTGACATTGTCAGGGATATTGCAGAGGGAGGCAAGAACAATCGTGAATGAGCTTTTATTCAAAGCTAGAAAGTTGCCATGGGGTGGTTGCATAGGAGCTCGGTTGCCAAGCAATGCGAGGAGGGTTGCCAAGTGGCACAGGCTCTGAGCCACAAAGCAGGTTCAGGATGTGACCCCTGGAAGCTGAACGGGGAGGCGGGCGGGTATGTTCCAAAGAGCATCCGAAAAGGGATGCAGAATAGAGGCAGACCCAGCCAGCAACACATTGTCATCCTGAACCCCATCAATGTTTTGATGGACTTCCATTCCTTGCCACACAGAGCGGGGGGGCGGGGTTTCCCATTGGATTTGCATTCAGAGTTACGCAGCCTTGGGGTCAAAGAAATTTTGTGGTGGCGGCAGTTAGAAGGCAGTCTTGCAGGCTAACTCTGCCCGCAGCCGGCAGTTCGATCCTGACGGACTCGAGGTTGACTCAGCCTTCCATCCTTACATGATCAGTAAAACAAGGATCCAGATTGTTGGGGGCAATAAGCTGACCTTGGTAAACCGCGTAGCCTTAGAGAGTGCCATAAAGCACTGAGGAGGGGTTTGTCCCGTTTCCCCCCAAAATACGGCCTACCCCGAAAGTAAGTCCTAGCTTGATATTTACACGTACGCCCAATATAAGCCCTACCCACCCCAAAAAAGTCCTAATTAAGATCCTGCCCACTCCAGATTGGACGGGTAAAAATTAAACTAGGGTGAGGATGGGGAGGTGGAGCTGCCCTACTACTTACCTTTGGACAGTTGTAGCCAGGCCTCACACACCCCGATACCTGCCTTGCCGGCCCATTTCTTCTGCAGCCACCAAGGCTGGCAAGGCTTTTCTGAAGGCCTCTGTGGCTGATAAGAAATCTCCGGATCGGTCCAGAGCTCTGTTATCGGCTGCAGAGGCCTTCAGGAAAGCCTTGCTGGCCACAGAAGAAGTTCCTGACAGCAAAAAGGAGGCCGGGGGCAATGCATGCAAGTGAGGTGAGTCAGTGGATGTCACCCCCGCCCCGAAAATAAGACCTAGTGCCTTTTTTGGTGGCAAAAATATATATAAGTCAGGGTCTTACTTTGGGGGGAAACCTGGTTTAAGTTAGTGCTATTAAAATGGTTGCACATTCATGGGTTAGAGTTGAATAAACCAATGTAAACAGGATGGGGATTTACCCAAAGTTGCTTTGGGAAAAGGCAATTGGATATTCTTGGATGAGAAGTGACATGTTTTCAAGGGAAAAAAAATGCAAGGAAGTCCAGTTGCCTTTTGAAAAAAAGATCTTTGGGACAACCACGACCTGGATGGTTGAGAACGGCCGATTGGAGATTGAGTTTCCCTGTTTGCAACTTGGCAAGGAAAAAAAAAAAAGGCTTATTTATTTATTTATTTGTTTATTTAATTTGTCGAGCATGTATTAGATAACAGATATAACTATAAGCATGATTATTAATACAAGAAATAGATATGAATAAAAGGGAATTTTAAGACAGGGACAGTAGGCGTGTTGGTGCGCTTATGCACGCCCCCTTACAGACCTCTTAGGAAAGGGGTGAGGTCAACAGTAGACAGTCTAAGGTTAAAGTTTTGGTGGGATTGGGAAAGAGACCACGGAGTCAGGTAGGGCGTTCCAGACATTGACCGCTCTGTTGCTGAAGTCGTATTTCCTGCAATCGAGTTTGGTGCAGTTTACCTTGAGTTTGTATCTATTGTGTGCTCGTGTGGTTAAAGCTGAAGTAGTCATTGATGGATTGGACATTGTAAT